GAAACAGACTACAGCTGAAAGGTGAAGTCTGCAGAAAAAACCAAAACAACTGCTGCTTCTCAAGCTGAGCAGTTGAAAGGGAATATAAATGCAAGAGCAGTTTCCAACTAGCTCACAAGGATGAGACCACAGTAGTCCACATCTCTGAATTCAAAGGCTGAGAGAGTTCAGCCTGGTTGTTCAGCCTGGAGAAGAGAAGGCTCCAGGGAGATCTTTTCACAGCCTTTCAATACTTAAAGGAGGCTTAGAAGAAAGATGGGGACAGACCTGTTGCGATAGGACAAGGGGTAATGGTCTTAAAAGAAAAGAGGGGAGATTCAGACTAGCTATATGGAAGACATTTTTTATGATGAGGGTAGTGAGACACTGGCCCAGGTTGCCCAGAGAGGTGGTAGATGCCCCATCCCTGGAAACATTCAAGGTCAGCCCCTGCCCATTGCAGGGGAGTTGGACTAGATGGCCTTGAAAGGTCCCTTCCAACCCAAAATATTCTATGATTCTACACTGAGTGGAAGTATTGTCAGAAGATACATGAAGACAGAAATCTGATGTGCTTCAATGCAACAAAGCTCTTCAGGCTTCTATGGTAATCTGCATGTCTGATTCTTGATGCCTCATCAGCTGAATTATATATTCCCAGTGGAATATACAGGACCTCAAAATACAAAATAACTACCAGTTCCAAATGCATCAGCATCGGCATTCGTACATCTTAACTTCTCCAAGTGCATGAAATTCTAGTAAAAATGAAAGTTGCTTATTTAGCACTGCAGAGTACCCACCACCTTTTTTTAAAATGAGGAACTGTGGGCTGTGCACACTAGAATTACAGGGTTAAAAGCACTAATTGTTCATCAGCTCATAGGCATTGTACCGACATTATTATTGATTTCCCTTTGTGAGTGAGGAAATACAGCCTCTTGAAATTGAGGAGAAAACACAGAATATTTTGAATTCAGACGTGGTAGACAGAAATGAACTTGCAGGACTTATGTTCTTTACAATGTAACTCTAGTAGAGTTTCCTCTAGGCAATTAGCAAGTATCCCTAAAAGGAGGAAAAAATGCTCTAAAATCATAAGCCATTTGACATTTATCCTACGAGTGGAAAAAAGAGTTAGTAAGAATCATACAAAAACATGGAGATCTCAGTCAGCCAGTGTCAGCAGAGAGGAAGAGACTTGAGCTGAGAAACCCAGACAGTAAAACTACGGCAGCTAGACTGGGGCTGGATTACCAACGCTCCTCACTGTCCTACCTTCACAAGGACGTTTGGACTAGCTGGAGAAAAGCCTGCCTGCATTCACAACCCTCTACGGAACATAACCCAACTCCAATTTGAAAGACTTTACAGTTTTGTTTGGGGGAAAAACAAAACAAACAAAAAAGGTAAATAGATCTATTCCAGGATAGTCACAGTTCTTAGAATGGGTTACCTGGACCTCAGAGATTTTTCATTTGTGGTCTGGCACAGCTAAACAGCTGAGACCGCAAGCAGATGTGTTCAAAGACACAAAGGGAGGAATACAGCTAGACAGGTGAATTTATTTATCTGTTTAAATTCCAGAGGTCAACTACTTCTAAGAAAGATCAGTGAGGTTTTGCATCATCCTCCAAGTTCATCCAGTGTGTACAGCTGGTGCTTATGATCCTAATAACCTGTGAGGCTGGTAAGAATGCCTGGCATGCTCTTCGCAGTGCTTCAAGTTTGAAAACCACAGGGTTACATTTGCCCCTGAGTGTACCAAATAGATGGGCTATCAAAGCTTTTAGAGTGCAACCCCTGAGACATAACACGCCTCTGACAAGGGCTGACTGGAGACAAAGGATAGAAAGGCATCCCTCTTTGCACATGTCCTCATTCTAAAATAAGTATTAGACCATCTGACCTGGTAAGGGACAATATGAGGTGAAACACAGTTGACCTTGACAGTATACATGTGATGTCCAACCTACAGATACCGCAGCCTGGTAGACAGAGCAATGCAATGAGACATTAAAAGACATGACAGACATGTTTATTGTGGCAGCATGACAAGTCCCTTTTGCTGATTTGCCTCAGGATCTGTTCTGTAACACATGGCTGCTAAAGGACTCGAAAACTCTGTGATGTCCTCTATGAACTGCACAGGGTGAGCTGCAATTTCTGCTCACTTATCTGAGGGCCAGAGTGGAAAAGCTAAAGAGCTGCACCTGAAAGAAACAGAAGAGAGGAAGTAAGGGAAGGCAAGTTTGAAAGCCTGATCTCCAGAGGTTCTCATTTACAAGACACCACTGAAAACAACGCCAGAGAAGTGGGCTTCCTCAAGAAAAGTGACTGGCTATAGCTAACATAATGAAGGAGGGAGGTCAGGTCACTGCACTGCAACAGCTAATCCCATCCAGTAATTTCAACGAAAAAAAAAAAAAAAAAGACAATATTTGCCATTTACAGCATTCATCTTTGTGCTAAGAGTTGTGGCCCCAGAAACAGAAGGTAAGGAAATAGAAGTCAGACAGGTAGACATGCAGCAGCTGCGAAAGATTTACGAGCAACTGCCGAGACTAAGAGAACCAAAGCAAATCAGGTGAAATGAAGGATGATTGAAAGCTCTTTGTATTTGGCTGAAATTGGACAACAACTTCTCACGGGCTCCCAAGTCGACAGGCAAGCTGTGGTCATGGCAGAGGAAGATGCCTAACAGCTTTCAAGGAGACCTTTAGCAGTTTAAAACACAGGCACTTTTCAGCTGAGGAGTAGTACAGAACATCCAAGAGACAACTTCTTAATGCACTACAGATAGTTCACAAGCATCTGCATATGCTCCCAATTTGATATATAACACCAAGTTCAGAATTCGTGTTGGTATTAGAGATGGTTTAATGACGTATCCACATTGTTTCCACGCATGTAATATTCACTGACCAGAATGAACTGATGCCATTACAAATCTTAAGTTCCCTGTTGATCACCAGAATCCCAAGTCATGTGTCACACTGTACCACGAGTCCATCCTTATGCATTTGTATCAATTTATGATAATGACTAAAATGGAAGAGAGTCCATTAAAAATGGCAAAGGTCCATCCTTTGCAAGACCTACATGCAATCAAATTTGAAATAACATAATTATTACATGCTTAATGTGGACCATCAGTTCTTTTGCCATAGATAGTATATTTCAGGGCTTTACATCATACCCACAGCACACATCATGTAAAAAGTTATACTTATTTAAGTATGTATTTTCCCCTAATAACTTGGTTCATCTCAAGCTTACAGTTCCAAAATACAGGGGTGCATTTCACTCCTGTGGGACAATGCAAGAAACTGAAGACTCTGCTTGACAGGACCCTGGATAACCTAATCTAAAGTTTCACTTTCAAAAGAAGGTTGTTTAAGACGATTTCCAGAGGTCCCTGCCCACACAGACTTCCACGATTCTACAATACTGATGGCACGGTTCTCACACTCTCAGAACAAATATCATTCGGTGCCTCCCAAAACTCACTCTCATTTCCATTTTTCCTGAAATGGTGATTTAAGTGTTGCCCTTTTGAGCATGCACATTTTATAACTTACTCATCAGAAAGTTTCCTTTTTCTGATAAAGACAATTACTATCATGCTAATAACATCTAAAAGACTGTCAAATACACAGAGGCTTCATTGTAAACATTTTCTATAGACAAAGAAAATGAAGGATGAAGTAAAATTAAAGTTTTACGGATCTCAAAGCTGAGTTTATCAACTTTTCTCCTTTTCCCCATTGTTTTTAACAAATGTTGCAACAGAGATGATGGTTTTAAAATTGACAAGAGCCTCTTTTTCAAAATTCTGAACCAATTAACTGCGTAACCTTATGTACTAAGAGTCTGATTAACATCTGATTCAGAGGCGCATATAATCCACCGTTTAATACATTTCATTACATAAACTTCACCATTTAATATGCGTGCTGTATTTGGTCTTTCTGTTACATACATACAGCACCTAGCACAGTAGGAGCACATTGGAATTACTGAAATAAGAACAGTAAGTCATCATACATGTCAGCTTCTAAAATTATTCATGGTAACAAGTCTCAGACAGAAAATCTATTCTTAGATGATTGGCAAGTCCTATTCTCTCAGGTTGCAGAGAAGAGGATACTCTTGAAAAAAAAAAAAAATCACGAGCTCCAATACTGAAATGAACAAAAATCACCAGGTATCACATTGCATTTTAATACTCTGGCACTGACAGAATAAAACCTGCAATAAAATAAGGTATTCCTATTGTAAGTAAAGATTATATTGTTTGTCATCTGCAGTTCTTCTGTGAATATCACTTTCATAATGATGCCTCAGAGGACAAACCAAAAACGAGAAAACATATCACAAAACAAAAGCAAGATTCACTTATCAGACTACTTTTTAATACTATTATGTACAGAGTATTTTAGGAGAAATAAGTGGAAGCAGGAGATGTACTGTATTTCCTCCATACCTTCAATTATTCTGTTAACTCACAATAGCTTATTGTATTTATTGCCTTGTTCTTTAAAGTCTTTTATCCCATTTTTTTCTTATTGCTCGCTGAGTGAGACAGAAGTAGGCTTATGTACTTCCACTCCCTCAAGTAGGACAACATTACTGCTAATGGTAATTTATTTAATTCACTAATCAGTGTATTTAGACAGAAGGAGAAAATAATTTAGAGCCAAGATTCTTGCTTTTTACTAGTTATTGCCTCAGGATTTTTTTTTCCCAAGTAACATTAAAATGAAATCTAGATCCCCAAAAAGCAGGTGACCCTTTGACACACAGATGGTTCTACAATTTCTTTCATTTTCTTTCTGCATTTTCTCACATTCTTTCATTTCTATCTTCCTACAATAAAATCAAACTGAATTATTCCAGTTCTGTAACAGGGATTATATTTATTCTAAACTGACCTAAAAGTAGCACAACACAACTAGTCCCCCCTTTTATCAAAGAAAAAGTGATCATTATTTTTTCTAAATATAAATCAGCATACACACCCTTAGTGTTGACTGTTTTCGCTGTGACCTCTAGTTTTTCCAGTGGTTCTGTTCCAATATTTTCTAACTTAATGATGAGCTGTTGAGTCTCTCCATTGTAAAGCTGGACAGACACATTAGTAGAGATTTCGTCCCCTGAAGAAGGCTGAAGTGTATGAGCAGACCTACAAAAACGTGACACATAGACAAACAAAATATTACGATAAACATGTCAAAAGCCTGTCAAGTTATAATATTCTATTAACTATTTTTTGAAGACTCAGAAAGTAAGAGTACACATTGTGTACTGCAATCTTGAAGATATCACATATCATTTTCCATTCTCATTTTAGCCAGGGTCATTTTTTATAACCATTGAGGACAAATGTTAATATTGTATGCATAAGACAAGTCAGATTTCAAACAATATAAAATATGTATTCCTAACTGTGAAAGCTTGTTAAAAAATGCTGCCAAAAAAAAAAAAAGTAAGAAAGGGAAAAGAACAAAAAAGCAAGAGCAGGTCATTAGAATGAGCAAACTTGAAAAAAGTGGTATCTGATCTACCAAGTGTTTGAACACTAGGGTTGAGTAACAATGAGTCTCAAGAGCTGAATGCAAAACAGAAACAATAAAAAAAGAAAATTGAGGAGAATAAAAAGTTGAGCGCTACATAGGAGAAACCAGGGTGAGAGTCCTCTGCAAGACCCTGGAGTCCATACTGCTCTCTGATCAGCCTGTAAAAATTACAGAAGTGAGAATAAGTTAACCAGTAGAAGAAACCTCAGAAGAGATGAAACCTTTGTACACACAGGTGAGGATACGTTGCTTTACACTGTCAGGCATTCCCAAGCCCCACCAATATATGATATACGCGGAATGAAGATAGAAACACCTTTAATGACAGATAAGCAGCACTATGTATTTTACACATGTTCACCCAGAAACCGTTTCCTTAAGGGACCATAAACAGTATCTGAAATATGAGGTAAGTTATACTTGGTAGAGTAATATATTGTAAAAATAACTTAGAGATGAAACAAAAATTATTCTACGAGTTATATGTGCTAGAGAAAATGCATGGGTGTCTAAAGCTTCAGAAACATGAGACTTTATTTAAATGAGTATCAAACATTTTATTTCAAAGTAACAAATGTGTCAAACCAGTCAATTATTGAAATAGCAGATATGCACAGTGCTATGACAACACATCATGAATAACCGAGAATTGAGCAGTAACCTTGACCTTTGCTTGGAAGAAAATACAGGAGTTGAGAGACTGCAGTTTTAGTGGACAGCAGAGGGCATAAACCTCATGGGAGAGGACCCTGAAAGAAATTCACTGTGTGAAAGGTGAAATTGTGAATATAAATGAACTCTTTAGAACATGAATGAGAAGGAGGATTGCAGAACAAGACAGATGGGCAGAGGTTCAATTTCTGACTGTATTTTTCATGCTAATGCAAAGTGGTCAGAAGGGATCAAGGACACAAGGGCAAAAGCTACTGAGATTAATGACTGATAAATCTGTTGGTAAACCCAGGTTCAATAACTTCTTTTGGCAGGTATTTCTGCTATCCTTCCTTTCTGTCCTATCCTTTCTTAGCACAAGATAAGCAGTCTCCACAAACAAGAACAGATTTTAGTCTTTCAAAATGCATCTATGACAACAAGTACTTAAAACACATTTTATTTGAGAATTTAAAATTTACTGTAATTTAATTATTATCATTGCAGCACTCTGAAGCTTGGGCATTTGGAGCAACAGAGAGAGGGCTCCAGGGCGACCTTATAGCCCCTTCCAGTCCCTAAACGGGGCCTACAGAAAAGGTGGAGAGGAACTCTTTATCAAGGAGTATAGTGATAGGACGAGGGGGGATGCTTTTAAACTGGAAGAGAGCAGTTTTAGATTAGATATCAGGAAGAAATTCTTTACTGTGGGGGTGGCGAGACACTGGTACAGGTTGCCCAGAGAAGTTGTGGAAGCTCCATCCCTGGAGGTGTTCAAGGCCAGGTTGGATGAGGCTTCGAGCAGACTGGTCTGGTGGTGCCCCTCCCCATGGCAGGAGGATTGGAACTCAATGATCTTCAAGGTCCCTTCCAACCTAAACCATTCTATGATTCTGTGCCTGCTCTGAACTTGTCCTCACCTGCCTTCAGCTTTGGTTTTACTTACTGCAGCAGCAATTTTTTCTTCTGACCTGGTGGCTACTCTTAATTTGCTTTATTTCTGTTACCTCTGTTCGTCACAACCATAGTTTTATATAGATAGTAGTAAAAAGCGGTTGTTCTAGGTAGAATGAGATATTTATGACTAAAACAGTGACACTGTGTAGAGAAACACAGATCTGGTATGATAGCAGAGGCATTGCGAAGCGGAAACACAGGATGCAGCAAAGAGTAGGACTGGCGTGGGATGGATGGTAAAGAGAGGGGGCACATGTTTAGCACCGGAGACCTTACAGCTATAAACAATTCACTAACAGTCAAAGAAATGCAGATATGGAACTGAGCAAAAAGAGCTTTCAGGAGTAACAAAGACAACAAGGATCTAATATACAAAACAAGCATCACATATATTAAATTTGGATGCAACGTGGAGCTTGAGTGAAGAAAGAATAGGTGTAAAAATGTGTTAGCAAACAAAAATGGCTTCAAGTGTTTTCTACAGTGAAAAAACCCCAATCCATCAACATCATATTCCTCTCGGTGAAGGTCTCCAGAAGCTGACAGTGCGCTGTACCACCAGACTGAAAATGCCAACCTTAGGACCTAGAGGAGCACTACAAGCATAACACCAGGAAAATAGGTACAAAATAGGAACTGTGTGTAAAGCAATTTTAAGTGTATTATTAATAGTGATTCTTCTTCTGTATAGAGTATTTTTCTCTCTCTTTTTCTTTCTTCTGTAATAATTTCATCTGGACTAACAATGGTCTAATACAGGAATTATTAAGATAAAAACAGTAAATTATTTGCTTTATACATAAAGTGTGTTTCCTCTTTGCCTGTAAACACAACTCTGAGAATAACAGTATCGCACAATCATTTCAGTATATTAGAAAATACTTATCAAGAAAGCAGCCTATAATGCCTGGCACACTGGCACGCAGCTTCAGAAATTTCTGGTTCTTGTGAAAATGACTGATATTTTTCAATACAAGAAGTCTTCCCCAATTTTATTTATAAATTTGTCATTTTCTTCCCTCAGTTTCTTACTTTATAGGCTTTTCCATCAGGATTGTTCTACTTAGTAGTGTAGTATTTTTATATACTATATATAAGATACTTAAATTTATGCACTTATATTTATATAAATACATATAATGATGAAAATATATACTAACAAAGCCATTCTCAACCTACAGTGGGCTTCATGAGCACATCCTCAGTAAGTCTGCAGATGATACCAAGTTGGGCGGGAGCGTTGATCTGTTTGAGGGTAGGATGGCTCTACAGAGGGATCTGGGCTGCCTGCCAGAAAAGGACCTGGGGGTGTTGGTCGACAGCTGGTTGAATATGAGCCAGCAGTGTGCCCAGGTGGCCAAGAAGGCCAACGGCATCCTGGCTCGTATCAGGAATAAATAGTGTAGCCAGCAGGACTAGGGAAGTGATTGTCCCCCTATACTTGCCACTGGTGAGGCTGCACCTCAAATCCTGTGTTCAGTTTTGGGCCCCTCACTACAAGAAAGACATTGAGACGCTGGAGCGAGTCCAGAGAAGAGCAACAAAGCTGGTGAGGGGTCTGGAGCACAAGTCTTATGAGGAGCAGCTGAGGGAACAGGGGTTGTTCAGCCTGGAGAAAAGGAGGTTATGCTCTCTACAACTACCTGAAAGGAGACTGTAGCAAGGTGGGGGTTGGTCTATTCTCCCAAGTAACAAGTGACAGGACAAGAAGTGGCCTCAAGTTGTGCCAGGGGAGGTTTAGATTGGATACTAGGAAAAATTTCTTCCCCAAAAGAGTTGTCAAGCATTGGAACAGGCTGCCCAGGGAAGTGGTTGAGTCACCACCCCTGGAGGTATTGAAAAGACGTGTAGACGTGGTGCTGAGGGACATGGTTTAGTGGTAGAATTGGCAGTGTTAGGCTGATGGTTGGACTTGATCCTAAGGGTCTTTTCCAACCTAAATGATTCCATTATTCTATTACAGCTTCTGCTAAGATTGAGCTTTTTTAATTGACCTTCCATAACACAGAGGAATTAAGAAAAAAAATGTATATTTCTAACAAGACATTATGATATGCCTAGAAAGGCCTGGAATTATTCTTGCCAATATGACTATACACCCCCAAAATTACTATACATCAATCAAATGTTAAAGAAATGATAAACAGCTATGTATCTTTGACCTTTCAAACAAACCTTTTTCTACATATCAGCAGTTTCACCTACAAAGAAGCAAGGCAGTAAATACAGTATCAAGACTATCTCAAATACTTAAAAAATAAATAAATTCATTGAAAAATTAAGAAAACTCATCTCAGCTCCAGTAGAAGGTTCCAAAAACAACCAGCTATAAAAATTAAGGTGCTGTGTCAGGAAAAGACTCTCTCTTAAGAATAGAGGCTAACATTGAATGTTGGTAAGATGGGTGTCAACGCAAATGTAAACATAAAGCAAATCAGCAAGATGCAAGCATAGAAATTGGATTCAGATTTTAGCCTGCTGTGTGTAAATTAAGAATTTTCTTCCTTTCTGTTCTTCACCATGTCTTTTAAAAGCACATCATCCTCTGGAGAGCCCAAAGGATAAAACACTGTTGACGGGAGTTGCATGAGGCAATTTGCTGGTATCATAGAGGCTGGGATAAGGAGTAAGTGATAATAAACAGAGACCCCTCTGGCATACTGCAAGGTAGCCAGGAGTGTATCTGAATTCCCAGGATGTCACAGGAACTGAGACTGACTACTGAAACTAAAGCATCTGAAGAAACTAAAAGTAAATGTAACACCAGTGAAAAAGTAAATACACACCAATATAGAAAGAAAATCTTGTTAAGGTTCCACATTATCAGCTGAACATATATCCAAAAAGAGCAGATATTATGCTCATTTAACAATATTTGTAATTCACTTTGTATTTCAACCCCATCGTGCTTTTTAATATATTCATAACTTTGGCTAGCCAATATTCAATTTGATTACAGCTAAACCACACAGACTCCATATCTAGCAGAATTTTTATAGTGAATTTACCAACATGTAAATCAATTGCAGCATTTTATTATTTTGCTGTCTTCATCAGGATATTACTTTTCCATCTTTGTAATACAATGCCATCCACACAGCCCATTCCACGTTAGGAAAGTAGAATTCAATACAGAAAAATCAGAACCAAACTGGTTCCTTTGCTTTAGTAAGTAAACCATGCTGAAGAACACAACAAAAAAAAAATTACATATATATATACATACACATATACGTCTCTTTGTGATATACAGCACGATCATACTACTAAGGATCATAAATGGAGCTGAGATCTTCCAATCAATAGAACAATCCCTGTGGTACTTGAGCTATCAAACCAGTAAGTAACAAAAGGCTGTTTCCTGATCCATAGCTAAAAGGAATATTAAAAAAAGAAAACCAACAACCAAACAAAAAAAATGAAAACTGAATCTCCGTACTTTTATAACTATTTGCAAAACATAGATGGATGGCAAGACTCTGACATAGTGATCAATATGCAGCTTAGTAGGTGAATGCTCTTGAACCTTGAAAAGTTCCAAAAATTGAATTGAATCAGTGTCTTACCAGCTCTCTCTACAATCATGGAATTCGCCACATTCTTCCCAGAAAAAAAGCTCAAAAAAACCTCCACAAAACCCCCAACCTACTACTGTGTCCTTTTTGGTGAGTGTATACAGAAGTTATTTTAGTTGATTTTTCTGTCCCTCTTAAACATATTGTTTCTGTAGTATGGTATCAAGTTTAGGCCCCTCCTGAACAATGGAAAAATTGATATTTTGGAGCAAGTTCAGAAGAGGGTTATCAAACTGGTTAGGAGGCTAGAGCACATGAGATATGAGGACAGGTTCAAAGAGCTGGGTTTGTTCAATTTGAAGGAAAAAAAAAAAAAAAAGAGGGGGTGATTCTTACTCTTTTGAGTGTGGTCACACATTGGAACTGATTTCCCACAGAGGTGATGGAAACACTGCCCATGGAGATAATTAAAATTTAACTAGATCATGCCCTGGGCAACCTGATCTAACATTTAAGTCATATAACTTTTCAAAGCTGGCCCTGCTTTGAGCAAGATCCTGGATCAGATGACCTCCATTTTTACTCTTTCCAACCTACACTGTTCAATGCATTACCTCTTTACTTCAGAACTCTATGAACATTTAGCCTTTAAAGGATTCATTCATTTAAAAGTATGACTTTAATAATGAATAACCATTACACTCCCTCAGTTAATTAAATATCAAAATATTTTCTATGAAATTCCAAGGTTTCAAGCAGTAAAACAAAAAAACTTAAGATTTATATTCCCAAGTAAATAACACAGATATAGTTTATGTCTTATTTTAGTAAAGCACTGATTATATATTCAGATGAAGGAGTTTTTATTCAGCGTGTGACTAACGCTTAAATACAACCAAATAAAATCATCATTTAATTCAGTTTCTCACCTGGGAAGGGAGGTACTGATCTGCAGCCTTGGCAAAGCTGGAATGACTTCAACAGTACAGCCATTGGTCTTCACTCCTGGCAGATTGTCCAGAAGGCAGTCACTGAAGACTCCAAAAACTGAAGTATGGTAACCTGATTTTTAGAAGAAAACACCAGTACGTTGTGACTTTTTCTGTTTTCTGAAAGGTGTAAAAGTACTAAGCTAGTAGTCAGGTCCTGCCAATATTTCTGCTATGCAAACCACCACATTTTCTACAGGGACACAAAGTACCGAAAACATTTCATTCTCAGGACACAAAATACGGAAAACATTTTCAAACTCCCTAAATAACAACATTTATAACTACATGACAACATACAACACATGTATGCCTTTGTATCTATGACATGTAAAATTTAAAAAAAAAAAATTAAAAAAGAGTCTGTGATTTCTACCATGCATTATGTAAAGTATTCCACAGAACTTAACAAGATCAACATCACAAGTCATAGTATAGAGAGCATCATTTTATACCCCATCACCAAATCCACTGGTGCACATAAAACTTGATACTCTTCAACATATGTTAACAGTTCCCGATTTCCTCCAAAAAACATTTATAGGAAAGTCTCAACTGTATCCAGAAGCTAAGGATAAAAGAATCCTAAAGGAAATTAATTAGGGAAAAAAAGGAAAGTAGATATGCATACACACAAACACCTGCCATAAAAGACCACAGCTTATCCTCTAAAAGTTAAATTTAGTAGGAAAGTACCTCTACACTGACTCTTTGCCAGGCAATATATACAAGCTATACATGAAGGAAAATTTGGTACATTGACACACAAACAGCTGCCAAGTAAAGAAATCAGCTCCTCTACTTGCAATACATTTTTAGTATGTGAAACTAAAAGCAGAGAACTACGGCACAAATGTTCTGAATGCTTTGATGCTGTTCTGTATTTACTGAAATAGTTTCGGGGGAAAAAAAAAAATCAAATGAAGAATCATTTTATGAGCAGACAGAAAAGCACTTAAGAAAAACTCCGTAAGAACAGTTTCTTCAAGTTCAAAGCCATCTTCTTCTGATGTTTAGCTTTATTAAAATGTTTCTTTTGCCATAACTCTGTATTTCCAAGAATACGTACCTAAAATTGTGTGTTGGTAAGATGATTCAGTCCTACTACGTGTTGAATCGATCATCTTCACATATACCCCCTTTTCTAGGAGACTGATCTGCTCATCTTCTAGAAAAGCTCTTTAATTCTTTTTACTTACTACAAATACAATTGCATTCAGGCTTATTAATGAAATGATATCTTGACTGCAACAGACTACACATATTGGCTAAATTGTTTCTACAGAAGCAATCCGCAAAAATTTCTGTAATCTTACATGAACACGATTAATTAAGAAAAATGAACTGCAAGATTATCTTCTGCATTCTCATGAAAAAGTTCAAGTAATCCTCCTCCTCAGCTTTCCAAATGAAAGCGTTAATAAAGGGCAGTTTGAGTTCATTATCCTTTTCCTCTCATACATGAGATATTGTAAATATGTGTTCATTACTGCTGTTGCAACCAAATGATTCATCAGGCTGTTTTTACTGAAGTCTAGTATAGAAAACAGATTTGTTGTTTTGTTTTTTTTTTCTTTTACATACTGAGGAGAATTCAGAGTGGCAAATACAAAAAGGACATCAATTTAACATGTGTCATACAAACTTATGTGATGCACAGAGATCACAGAATCACAGAATCACAGAATGGTCAGGGTTGGACGGGACCTCTGGAGATCATCTAGTCCAACCCCCCTGCCAGAGCAGGGTCACCTACAGCACGTTGCACAGGACAGCGTCCAGGCGGGGTTGGAATGTCTCCAGAGTGGGAGACTCCACCACCTCTCTGGGCAGCCTGTTCCAGTGCTCCACTACCCTCAAAGTAAAGAAGTTCCTTCTCATGTTAAGATGGAACTTCCTGTGTTCAAGTTTATGCCCATTACCCCTCGTCCTATCACTGGGTGCCACTGAAAAAAGACTGCTCCCATCCCCCTGGCATCCTCCCATTAAGTATTTGTAAGTATTAATAAGATCCCCCCTCAATCTTCTTTTCTCTAGAGAAAGATGTAAAACACACGGTTGTTTTGCTAGGAAGAGAATGACTGAAGAGATCCCTTACCATTGACAGTGATTTGTCCGGTAGTTTGAGGAACACCAACAAGAGTTACTGGATAGAGACCAGATTCTGCAGGTAGAGAAAGAGCTGCAGGAAGAGATTCGAATTCTACTCCTGTTGTCAATAGTCCCTGAAAAAGTCATATTACATAGATAAATCCATTTATGATATATACTTATATTTTTATGATATATACTTACATTTTAATCCCTTCCATTACATCACCCAAAGTTTTACGATTTATTCCAATTTGCTCATAGCAGTTATTTTGGTTTTTAAGTTCCAGTGACTGAAGCACACACCTAGAATTATGGCAAGATCTGTATTCAACAGTGAAATGCGTTTCAGGATCTGAGGTGGGAACAATGTATGAAAAACTAATAAAAATTTATACCCAAGCAGAGTAAAAAGAATGAGTGATATAACCTGCGTGGTGTTGTTTTATACCTACATTTAATTGTACTTGTGACCTAACTTACATATTTGCTTATGTTTTGGACATTGAAAAATCAAACATCAATAGCGACTCTTGTTTAGCTTTCATTAAAGTCCCTGGCCAGAAAATATTTATCTACGAGGAGAAAAAATTTTAGTATTTACAGATAATAGACCGAGTCTAGCTTTACTACCCAACCTAAACATCTCAATGTTTAGCGTCTTAGCATCCTAAATTTAAAACATCACAAAAAAACAAGAAATGAAGCAAAAAAAAATATGTATTTAAGAAACTTTAAAATACAGCATTACTACCCTTAGCAGATTGGGGGTTTTTTTAAGCTCGGTTAATGAACTTAAGATGCTTGAACACTCTAAATTTAAAACATCACGAAAAATAAGAAATGAAACAAAAAAAAAAATATTTAAACAACTTAAAAATACAGCATTACTGCCCTTAGCAGATTGGGGTGGGTTTTTTTAAGCTCGGTTAGTGAATTTAAGCTGCTTGAACACAGAACGTACTGTTACAAGTAAGAAATCTGATGTTGTAAAGCACATAAATCTAAGTTACCAGCTGCTTTTCTATAAACTTAGATTTTTATTTTCATTTTTTAATAAAGATGCCATCCAAATATCTCCATCAATTAATGCAGTAAGTACAACTAGATTAAACCTCAACTCCACAAGGATGCTTCACAGGAGCTCAAAACTCTATGAAAGAGCCAAATACTATTTTTGTAAAGACAGATGAAAAAACTCATGGTTTGAGCCACAGAAAACCACGAAGAGACTGAAGACTGATCAAGGAGTTTAAGAAGCAGCATCATTATCTGCACAGTGCCAGAATACCAACACTGCTTTCCTCTGAAAGCATCTATGATTGCCTCGTTTTTAACTCAATTGGGTTTTGAATGGTGCACCTCTAATGCTCATGTCAGCTGTACAAGGCAGACTAGCCCTCTTATGTTTCTAATTCTCAATTAGAAATTAGGAAAATTGATACTCATATAACAAGTACTTAAAGAAATGCAAATGACACCACCAGAATTACCCAGCCAATGACTGAAACTTGACCTGTCATGTCGATTAAGTTTTAATGGTCTGATTTGCATTGGGACTAACCACCAGCAAGTCTTCTTCAAGCAATTCCTAGATATTAACCAAAATCAACCCACCAGCAGTCAAAAACTGAACTAAATTAAAAGCCACTATCAGAATTTCTTTCCTCCACAGAAGGCAGTGTGCCTTCTGGTAAATTAACAAACAACTATCTTTCACGCACATACTACATGACAACTAAATAAATGCTTTGCACCTAAGATATTTAACAGCAAAGCCCTAAACAGACCAGAAGCTTAACAAATCAAACCGAACAGGTTTGTCGGGTTCTTGATTTCTCTTCTACTGAAGATCTGAAGTCATCAACATTATAATATACCCAAAAGCTAAAAAATCCTTTGTTCTAGCAATTACTTCTTTGTAGACTTGACATTGTTGAGATAACACCTTATTCAATCAAAGCTGTTGTTGCTTTGTGATGAGATGCATTAGAGAACTCTATCCTTCTCTAATATTGTGCAAATTTCAGTTTCATTGTTTCACTTGAGTTATAAGAAAACATTGTGTCAAACCCTCATTTCTACTGAGTTTTAGTTTTCCCCTGGTTTCACATGCATACTTCAGCTGTCTGAAACAATCCACAAAAAAAGCAAGTAAAAACTAAACCTGTCTTCCCATGCATTCAGCACCCAGTGTATCAGAGCACTGATGCTTTTTGATTTCCACTTCATAAACACAAGCTTCGTCACTACTTTTCAAACAGGTCTGTTTATGTAGCTGGGAGCTTAAACAGGCCTTGTTTGCACTCTTGGTGAAATATTCCTTGCAGTATTTCAAAATAAGGAGATCAAAATAATGATTGCAATAATTAGCCAATACAAACTAATTTTAGATATGACGCAACATAATCGTTTGCACGTGACTGAAGATAAATCCTTCAAGCGGGATTCACCACACAGAAATGGGGTGAACATTCACACTTTAATACTGACTAAGCCTCAGTCTTCACCATAATCATTCTGCTTTTTTGCTTTAGCTGAGGCAAATCTTAAAACATAAAAGGTTATCCCCATACACACTCCGAAACTCACTTTTAAAACAGGCACAGAAGGCTTTGTAAGACTATTTCAGTCCCGAAAGCACTGTGGTATCACTTGGGCAAACATTCAAATATATTTGAACTATTCAGGATTCACCTCAACTAAATACATTCATCCAAGAACTTAAAATCCTAAAAAAATCAATGACAAAAAAAACCCACCTCCAATGTCTTGTTTAATATCATCTAGAGCAAATGTAAATCAACAGAACTGACAGGGACCCCTAAATATTATTTGGCCCATCTCCCTCCTCTGAAGCAGCACCAACTCCACATCAACCATTCCCAGCACGTTTATCTAGGGAGTTGTGGAATTTCCCTCAGCAGCAATCTCTAAGAGGGGACTAGGTAACTTAATCCAGTGGTTAAACTGGAAAGCCTTTCCAGTTCAAACTTTCTCCTAAAACTACACTGAACTTACCTTGTAACAATTAATACACATCATTATTTTTCAATTCCTAGCTAACTCCCCAAATTCGCCAGTATATCAAGTGCCTATAAACATATACAGAACACTACGAAATTACAATGCCATTGCAAAACCATAGTCAGGTCACTTTTCTGGAATATGGGAATGTCCTCATTGAGATATGGTCCTAATTAGCCTAGTTTTCCTTAGGGCAAGGTAGAAGATGGAAGAAATACAGCTTTCTCCCATGTTCTTACTCCTCTACTTTGCATTTTTAATCAAGCTGGATATCGGGACATACATTTATACATTCATGTCGCTTCTTGCAGTGTGAGCAGTCTTGTGCTCTTATTTAATATGAATTAGTCCCCCATCCCAGCAATTAGACATCCTGCACTATCAAGTTGGACTGAGGAGCTGCATGGGAAGACATTGCCCTGAATGCCTTTCAGAGTCCTATAAAGGAAGAAATAACCTCAAGGGGGGCCATAAACCAGCACAGCCCTGAGAAATGCATCTGAAGTAGCCCCACATGCACAGATACAGACTGCCATACAACCCTAAAATTGGCAGTCAAAACCCCACAGCCCAGCTAGAGTTTTGATCTGTGACACCAATGCAGGGAATCAAGGCCTGGAACGGACCGGAGCCAAACCCTGAAGAAAGCAAAGATCACAACGGTGGGTAAACAAAAAATAGGGAACTGAACTGAGAAAAATTAAATAAATCAATGCTAATATTTTTAAAGGCTAGTGGTCAAGGCTCAGGAAAAGCAATGATCTCAACCCAGCTGTGAGAGAAAGCATCTTCCTCGCCAAAGGATTTAAACTGAGTATGTTAACAGCAGACAAAATCCAGATAAAACTCAAGATAAATAGAGACAGTAACAGACTAAAAGGCACGTGAATGCATCTGGAGTACAATCACCCAAAATATGCATGTGCTTATGGACAAGAAGGAAGAGTTACTATTAAGAGAAATTGTTAGTATTAAAATGATTTAGTAACAGTAGAGGGGAAAAAAATTGCTATATACAGTGTATATTGTTCCCTCAGGCCTGAAATTACATCAAAATGACACCCTTGGATCATGCTGATCACAAACACGGCAAGTTGATCACCAATAACTGCTAAAGCAAAGTAAGTCCTCAGCACAATGTATTTTTCTTACAATGCATTAAGAATGCACTCTATTTTTTAACAACAAAAACCATGAAAATGAAGAGATTTTCTAGAGAACAAACTCAATGCAAATGCCAGAACACCTGCACTAAGCATATACTATGCCTGGACTAGAAATTAAAGCATCTCAAGTGTATTATCACAAGAAGGAGAATACAGCATGTGTTTCTCTCATTATGAGAGTTTTAGTATTCAGTAAAACTTCAAGTTTTTAAAAGTAAAGTTGCTAAGAAAGCATAAAAACTCATCGAAATGGAAAAAACCCAATATAAACCTCAACTAGGCCTCCGAGTTCCAGACATGAACTGAAATCAAGATACTTACCCTTAAAACTTAACCAACACAAATAAGTTTTAAAAGATAATGACATATCTAGAATGTCTGAAAGACATTTTTAATACTGCTATTTGCTGGATAGCAGAACTCAGCAACATTTGCCCAACACTGCCCTCTGGTGCCTAAAAATTTTTTAGATTAATAGTGACAACCAAATCAAGGCTCAAGTCCTGTCATATCCTTTACCCAAACATATCAGATACAACAAAAAAAAAAAAAAAAAAAAGGAGTAAGTGTTAGATTTCTTTCTCCCTTGAGTTTTATACCGTATTTCAAGTGAAACTATTTAGTAGTAATCATTGCTCTTTCTGACCTTCTAGGAAAAGTTTACCCATATACGAGGTTTCCTTCCAGGATATATATGAATCACACAAAAAACTGCAACTAATTTCACATTTCCTTGTATTCTTGTAAAACAATTTAAATTGTCATAGAGTGAATATATGCATGCTATTATCACAGCATGTCTTTCAATCACTTCAAACCTCCCTTTAGTTTTAGGGAAACAAAGCTACTCATATGTAAATGGTATCATTTGGGGAGGCTGTTAAAACAACATGCATATGTAAACGATTTTTTTAGGCTTTACTTACCAGTCCTGAAATGCA